ATAGTCCTCCTGCCGAAACTGATGCTCCCACCTCTTGCCCTGGTGCCCTTTGATGCACTCAGCATGCTCCTGTGGCTGTGGGTTCAGAAGGCAAGTCCTCATGGCTTTCTGGGGCATGGCCTTCTAAGAAGCGGTGCAGTGTTGTGGGTGGGTGCTGTTGTTCATTTCTCAGCTCTTCCCGCGCTGCCTTTTGGTCATCTCCACCGTGCCCTCTCTCCTTGCCATGCCAGTGCGTGCCAGTGCCCGTCTGGCACCATGCACAGCTGGGCTGTGCAGCTGGCGTGCCGGGGCAGGATGTGAGGGCAGCCCCCGTGCCAGTGCCCTCGCACAGGGTGGCCTCTATGGGCTGCCTCCAGGTCTGCTGGAGGAAGGACGTGTCTGCCCATTCACCAGTTGCGTGTGGCTCGCTGCCCTTGCAGCTGCCCCTGCAGCTGTGGCGCTCTGTCCTGGCTCCCGTGACCCCCATGGGAGGAGGAGTGTGCCTGTGGGATGCTCAAGAGGTGGGGACTATCTATCCCCTGCTCTGCAGAATGCGGGAGCTGCAGCCTGCAGCACAGAGTGGGCATCCCGTGGGCACAGTAATCTCTAGAGGAGCAAAATGTACATTGTGCTAAGGAGCAACCTGCCCTAGTGGAAGGTGTCAGGGGTGGGGACTGGATGAGCTTTAAGGTCCCTCCCATCCATCCCTGGATGAGCTTTAAGGTCCCTTCCAACCCAAACCACTCTGTGGTTCTATGACTAGGAGTACATCTGCAACCACCTTGTTTCCTCACCTATTTCCCTGGCAGTCCCAGGCACGATTTTATCAGGAAGAGTTGCTGGGAGAGCTGAGCTCTGCGCTGCTGGGAAACCACAAGGATGAGGCTGAATCCTTCCCCAGGCAAAGGGAACTGCAGCCCCTGCCTTGGAGGAGACAGATGTTCACCCTGGAGAGCACTCAGGGGTATCTTGTCCCTCTTGTGCCACAACACAATCAGTCCAGTCCAGAGAGGGAGGGTTTCCCTTCAGAAGTTCATACAGTGGTCTTACCAGAACACCATAATCATGGAACCAAGTCTGCACCATCCAGTCATTCCCAGGAATGTCCAGAGCGCCTTGACGGTTGACAGTCGTGGAGTCTGGCAAATGGCTTCTTTTCTAGCAGCTCCAAGTTCTTTCTGTCCTCCTGTTATTTCATATCCTAGGTAACCCAAACTCAGGTTCGGATTAGTTGGGCCTTGTTTGGATACCCGATAACCATTCAGTCCCCAAAACTCTAATAATTCCATTGTCCACTGGATACATTCTTCCTTTGTTTCTGTAGCAGTTAACAGGTCATGCACATGTTGTAACAGAGTCCCCATCTGGGTACGTGGTTTCCATGATTCTAGTTCTCATGCTAGCTGATTTCCAAAAATTGCTGGACTGTTTTTAAACCCCTGTGGTAATACTGTCCGAGTTAATTGAGTTTCCCTTCCTGTCAAAAGCAAATAACTTTGGCTTTCTTTGGCCAATGGTAAGCAAAAGAAAGTGTCCTTTAAATCCAGGACAGCAAACCATTTCTGATTATTATTCAATTTAGTCAATAAGTCATACGAATTAGCTACTACTGGATGAATATCCTCTGCAATTTTGTTGATTACTCTGAGATCTTAACCCAAGCTGCAACTTTTCTCATCATATTTCTTTACTGTCCAGATAGGAGTATTACATTCCAATTCACATTCAACTAATAATCTATATTTTAAAATTTATCAATGATTTTTTTTTATTCCCTTTGATCTTCTAATTTTAAGGGATACTGTTTTATTCTGATTGGACAGGCCCCCCTTTTTATTTCCACTTTAACAGGCAAAGCATTTTTCACCTTACCTGGAACTTCAGATGCCCGTACTCCCACATATACCTGATAAAGGATTTCTTCTATTTCAGGGAGGTCCTCCTTTTTGCTTTACTGTTGAATTAAAGATAAACTCAAAACTGCAATTAATTGATTGTTTTTAACTCTAAATTCCATTTTGCCTTCTTTAAATGTTGCTTCTCACCCTAATAAAGTTTTTAGAGAATTTGGCATGCATAAAAATTTATGCATTCCTATTTGCCTTCCCAATTTGTATTTAAATGGTTTCAGAAAGAATGCCTCTCTTTTTTTTTTTTTTTCTTTCTTTTTTTTTCTTGGTGGCCAGTAGCTCCCACATCTCTAATGAATTCTTTTCCCTCTGATTTAACACCAAATAAGTTGCTCCTCTATCCACTAGAATTCCACTTTATTTCCTCCCTAGTTTTAATGTAACCGGTGGATCTGCTAGGGTAGATTCCCCAGGTCCCCGTCAGTTCAGTTCCAGTTCAGTCACCAGAGCCACCCCATGGCACTGGCAACCCCCCCCCGGGCAGCCTCACGTCCAGCATCCAAAGCCCCCATAGCACCCACACCGATCCGGTCCCACAGAAGAGGACCCCACTCCCCACCTCCTCCCGACATCCCTCCTCCCACGCTCAAACACTGGAGCTGCTCGAGCTCCCCCCCTTTCTGCCTTGTTTTTCCCTTTTTTCCTTCTCACAGCAGCTCCCCCTGCTCTGCAGGGCTGCAGGTGCCTGCCTCTGCAACAGCGCTTCTGGTTTAACCCCTTCTTAACTCTGAAGGTGGATGTGCCGCTGGTTGCCAGTGACAGCAATCTCTTCCTCCTTCTCAATATCAGATAGGACAGATGCAGAGGGTGCTCCTCTCGGAGGTACCTGTGGTACGTGATTTTCCACCCTATCTTCCTGATTACTGTTTCTTAACTTTAAACATCTTTCCCCAATGTCACAGGCTGAGCATCTCCAGCTTAACTTACAGTTTTTCCCTGTCCTTTTCTAAAGCCAAAATTAAGGAATCTGGTGGAGCTATATTCATTTTGCATTCAGTCTGTCACTCTGTGTGATTTCTTGAAGTGAAAAACACACCTGCATACATTACTTCATCCCATTTTCCTTGCCCCCTTAAAACAACATTAATTGTAACAATGTATTATAATTCAGAGTTCCATTTTTAGGCCATTTTTCCTGATCTTCCAAAGTATACAAAGGCCACCATCAGTTACAATATTTTACCAATATTTTCTTATTTACCGAGCCCCAGGAGACCCTCCAAGTTCTTTCCAGTGTGCCAAAATGCACCCAAAAGGATTCCTTTTCAAGATCTCTTCACTCTGCTGATTTTCCATTATCAATCTCACATTCACACACACACAAATGGGATCCCCGAGACATACTCCACACAGTTACTTGAGACAGAGACTTAAATTCAACCAAACAAACAGTTAATGACACAGTTATAGCATCCTGTCACCAGTACCAACATCACAAGACCAAAATCATTACTGTAACAAGCCACAAAATAAGGCGAATACCAGTAAAATCAAAAGCAATACTTCCTAACCCCTATGGCTCAGACCATATCGTAACATTAATAGGGGAGTTTCCTTGAACCCTCTATAGTTGACCAGCCTGTCAGTGCCCCAAGAAGGACGAGACCCTTGTGTCTGGCCAGCCTGTCTGTGTCCCACTGTGGGAACCATACTGGACAGCCCGCTGTATCGGAGGGTGATTCTACTAACCTATTCAGGGACCCACGCTGACAGCATAACTGAATCAAATCCCTTATGGGCTGTTGATAGCACACTGGACCCAAAAGCATTTCCACAAGACACCCTCTGTGTCCTGTAGGACTGAAATCACAAGATGCCCCCTGTTTAGTTATAACAGTCTGTCACTGACAGCAAAATCACAAGACCAAAATCCTTAACGTAAGAAGCCACAAAATAAATCAAGTAACAACAAGATCCAAAACCATTTCCACAAGACACCCCCTGCATCTTGCAGGACCCAAACCACAAGAAGTCCCCTGCTCCTTGTGGGTGCACACCAAACGGACGCTAGCAGCCGGGTACACACCTTTACCTACGAGATTTCCTATCTCGATTTACGGAAGGATTCCAAACCATGCGTACGCTTACCAGGCCAGCTTACCAAGCCAATTTACCAAGCCGAGATGCCCCCTGCACCTTACAGACTATATCAAAGGAAAGAGTACCTTTTATGAGATGGTCCTTGTCTGCTCGCCTTGCCTTAACAAGCCGAGATGCCCCTGCACCTTACAGACTATATAAAAGGAAAGAATACCTTTTATGAGATGGTCCTTGTCTGCTCGCCTTACCTTACCAAGCCAAGATGCCCCCTGCACCTTACAGACTATATCAAAGGAAAGAGGACCTTTTATGAGATGGTCCTTGACAGTTAAAGTTGCTGAATCATTTATAATCCATTTAGCATAACAAATTATATTTGTTATGTAAATCAGCTCTGGACATGCTTCCAGAATGAAGTGTTGTATTCCAGATGAACTAACTTACACAGCTTTTAACAAGTTTAACAAAATGAATTTATTGAAGCCCTGTTGCACAGTAATCATGAAAGTGATTATTTATCTTAACTATTTTATTTAGAGATTAAAAAATATCACTTGGGAATGATTGAGCAAGAAATGCTAGAAAAGCATCAGACACTTCACTCTTCAGCTGAGACACGTTCACTCGCTAAAACACCACTTACTACCTAGACAAATCATCCACAATCCCATACTTACCAGCCAGCTTCAAAAGTCCTTAAAAGCATAGAGATTCATAAGCCCCACAAGTACGATTAAAGTACCACCACAGTGTTGTCTTATGGTCTGCAATCCCACATATATCACAGCTGGAGGCAGAAGCAAATGGTGCTTGTAGGGAGAGAGAAAAGTAAAAGGTGAGGAGAAAGTGCAAATCAGAGACAAGGGGCCAGAGTCTGGATAAACTGAAGTCTATCACCTTACTCATCACAGGCCAGAGATTTGTTCACTTGGCAGGCAGGGGGAAGGACAGGATGATGTTTGAAGAAGCTTAAATATACCCTACATATATCTTTTGGGTCTCAGTGAGAATCAGGAGGATAGGATTTTAACAAATTATCAGAGTACTAGAGAAAAGCTGCACAATGTAATGTCAGTTGGTCTAGGGCATACCTCATCCATCTCTTCACTTTTTCTTTTCTTTCTTGGCTTGAGCATTTTAACTGTAACTGGTATGGGGCTGCCCTGGTGCTTCACCTCCATCTTACTGGGTTGCAAAGGTGTGAACTGGATTTTTATCTCTGGTTTTGTGAACTGACTAGTTTTTCCATTTTCTGTAGACACTTCAGACGAGTCAAGCGCAATTTCAGAATGGTCCTGCAAGCATAGGAACATTTTAAGAAAACAAGCTTTAAAATAACTATGACTTAAATGCTATAATACATATCCTTCTCCAGTGGGTTGCTTAGCAAGCATTCCTTTTTCTAGCAGTCAGCTTTTGGAACACTTCTAATAAAAGCAAAGAAATCTACTTCAACTACAGCAGAATTCACTCTTATTTTCTAAAACTTTTGTTACATTTTAAAAGGTTAACACTTCCATGCATGAGCACAGAACTTAATCTTCCTTGCTGAACTCAGCCTGATACTTTGCAAGTCATTTTCCTCAAGGGCAGAGAAAGCTACTCACAGTTTTCACAGCTAGCAGTAGTAGCATTGACACGATGTTACTCGTGTTAACTCTGCTGCTCTTTAGGAACTGGGCAGTAATAGGAGCTTGAGAGAAAAGTATAGTCTTTCTCTAGCTTGTTTTCAGGGAGCTTTCCCTCCCCCTTCTACACCTAGAGAAATTAACTGTGTGAGTAACAAGGTTCGACTGATTCAAGACAAATTCAACTGATGAGGACTTCCTCACTCTACTTAATAATCAGCCACCTTATAAGCCTCAGCGATAGGTAAATTTTCAAGAACACATGATTCAGGTCAGATATACTCACATGATTATGTCATGCAGCTTTTATTGCTACCAAGAGCAACAAAACTAGGTGACCTGATCATCAAGAAAGATTTACAGAAAAAAAAAAAAAAACATGAAAAAAAAAAAAAACCAAACCCAAAAATTGTTTGGGCAACAGGAAACAGGACATTTTGAATCACTAAAATCTATTCATGCTAAGAGATTATAAGAAAAGTCCTGCTGGGTCTTACCAGCAGTCCATCTAGTTCAATATTCTGCCTCTGACAGTGGCAAAGGGAGATGCTGTTATCTGAGGGATAAAATGTGTGATCCCAGCGACCTTGTCGTCTGTTGTCTCCATACTCACCCAGCACTCTCAATTGTTGCATTAGAGGGGTCAAAGGATATACCTTTGCCTAATCCTCAGAGTACCCATTTGTCAATATAGTTACGGATTTCAAATACAAGTTTTTCTGTTCCCTGCTGATAGTACCTGTTTTCAGAGGATCATTAGTGGCTTCAGATAGGAATAAGTTATTTAATTGTTTAAATTATCTCCTATTAGTTTCATCAACAGCTGCCAAGTTCTTGCAGGACTTTAGGAAAGACAGTTTTGGCTTTTGTTTACCCGCCACAACCATGATTTTGTAAACCTCAGCTCCATAACTCTCCAGTAGCCTTAACCTCTCGTAATCAGAGTGCCATCTTCTTAGCCTCTTCTTAAATGGCAGGAGACATATCCCCTTGAATGCTTTACTTTTTCTTCTTTATTGTCACAATGTGTTTCCCAGGAATTATTTGACTTCTCCCCCCCAAAAACTTTACCCCATTCACTTCAACATCAACAGAAGTTTCTCACATCATAATCCTAGACACCTCCGCTTACCCATAGGAACAAATATTGTCTCTACTTCCTTGAGGTAAATATGTCAGCACCAAATGTTCACAACAATTCTTCAATAACTACTTTAATAGCAAAAAAAAAAAAATATTTATGGTGCTCTCTTACCTGTTATTACAAAGCCGTGTAAAGCACTAACCCTTCTGAGAGCTACTCTGTCCTCCCTCACTCATCACAAGCTTTGTCTATATGGCACTAGCTGAACTGATGAACTAGCAAGAAACTAGCCAGACAGGCTTATTTGGCAGTAGACAGGAAAGAGATGAAGAGACGCATTTTGCATTCCAGTTCTGTAGCAAGAGGAGAAATGCATGTTCTAGCAGCCAGAGGAGGGATTGCTAGGAAATCCACTTTCAGCCCTGTTCACTATTAACTAGCAATAGAGCCACACAGCATTAATTCAGTTTAGCAGGAGAACTATATCATTAAATACTGTTCAAGCTAACATGCAAGAGTTCAGTCAGAATTGGAAGTCTCAGTATAGTTGCAAGCCTTTCAATTTTTCCTTCTGGAAATAAGCAAAGTTGATATTTTCTTTGCGTAAACTTCAAATATTGTTTTGGTTTTCTGTGGGACGCAAGATACTGTTTTGTTCTTCTGAACCTCCATATAGGTTGGAAGCTCCTATTACAGAAACATCTCTATTACCACAGAATAGGCAATATCACAAAAGTTTTGAGCTGAAATTCCCTGAACACAATCAAACTGGAATGGCACTACAATGTCTTCAACTCTAGAACCTGGGTTAGTTAACTAGTTTTCCCCTCAGGTATGCAAGTTCTATAAACGTATCGAGAGATGGTATTCTATTAATGTAAGTACCCTCTTTCTGATAGCAAAAGTGGGAGATGGAAAGAATGAACAAGAACTCAGAAATGAACATAAAGTATGAAGTAGTATGAGCAATAAGTTTTGTCAGATTCCCAGTGTCACTGAAACATATATTGAGAAAACAACAAAAGTTATTAAAACCTTATAATTAGTACATACTTTCCATAACAAACTATACCTCTTTGTTTACAGTCTGATCTATTTCAGATAGTCCTTCTTCTGGTAAAGGTACTTCTGCCATAGACAGAAGACTTTCATAGTTAACCTGCTGTTTCAGCTCCTTTATAAAGTCATCTTTCTCAGCCAGCTGTTTCCTTAGTTCTTCTGTATCAGTTTCCTTAGCCTAAAAAACATAGCAAAACATGCCACAAATTGCAGGACTGGCAAAAGAAAATATACACACAAGCATCGTTACTTGGAAGCATCAGTTTTAGAACTCCAAGCTAAACCAGTCAGTTATCCAACAAAAAGCCAACAATTTAATGTATGAGTGGTCACTATTTAAAGTGAAGCGAAGTCATGTAACACCCAGGGAAGATGTAACATAAATTTTTATTTTACTCTACTTATGTGAAGTTATAAATAGTTCACCTCCCACTTGCTCATTAAGTCTCTGGGGCTGTGAAAAAAAGCAGCAGCTATGATAACTGTTTCAGATCTCCAGTTCAACTTTGCAATCAAAGAATCAGAGACTTTAAATAAACTACTAAATGTTCTGAAACTTTGGTTACTGTTACAAATTCAATTTCAAACATAAAGCTTCTATTTTTAATGAGCTGCTAATGGCTTCAATATGACAGTAAGAAGAAAACAAATGAGCCAAACCACAAAGAGTATTGTGTTTTGTAGAATTAATGCATAACAAAGTAAAAAAGAAAAAAAAAATCCCACAAGAACAAGAGAGAGAGAACCTTTCCCAAATCCTTTAGTGCAGCCTGTTTCAGTTCTGCTATTTCCTTATCTTTTTGTGTGGTGTTAGAAACCAAAGTCTTGAGCTGTATTTCCAAAGCTTCTACTAATTTATCTCTTTCTTCATGCTACTTTTGAAGACTGCTGTCCTTTTCTGCCAGCTGTGCAGCAGCAAGACTTTCCTAAATAGGGAAAAAAAAAATTAGAATTGAACACCAGTTCTACGCACTATCCGAACTGTTCTGATAGTTTGGTTTCACATAGCATTACTATTTTATGGCCTGAGTAAACTTGAAAGCCTATACTGATCTTACAAAGCTCGCCTAGAGCTATTTTCACAAAAAAGAATACAAAAGCAAACTACGCTTCAACTAGAAAATCTGCATCTATATTTATACTCTTTGTTAGTAATAAAATCAGAGCGAGCAAGTCTCAGGCAAGCAAAGTCACGGATAACGTTAAAGTAATCTTAAGCTCCTAATACCCTCCTGTACTGATTGCAGGTCCAGAAAGTCATTGCCAACTATATCTGGATGCAAATACAGTTTTAGATTGGTCAGATTCATTTCATAATTTTAGATACTCAAGAAATACAACCATAATGCAGCCTGGTGAACAGGTAAGGCATTTACCTTGCTATTGACTCTCAGTTGAAACTGAAACAGGAACAAAACCACTAGCACTTTAACTAAGTATTTTTACTCTAAATCTCAAAAGATTTTTTGTTAACCTCTGCTTTTAGGAAAAAGCCAAACAAACAATCCTATTTTTCAAAGTCTGTTTTCTTAGCTTCAAATAAGCAGCAATTCATGTAAGTGTAGGTTACTGACAGGAGTTTTACACACAAAATAATGTTTGAAGAATTCAGTGAGATGATGATAGAATAGAAAGGAACAGGCATGTTAACTTCCATTACCTATTAAGCTTTTTCATTTTGTGACCCTCCTATTCTTCCCTTTTCTTAACAAGATGGTCTCATCTAGGCTTCACCATGTAATAAAGTGAGGGGATTTTGACAAAGGTCAACTACCCTCGAGCATCCACACTGTTAATACTTCACATGAGATTTGCTCTGTGCTAAAGACACTAGAGGATTCAACATACTAAGACCTCCAGTCACTTACAATTTCTGCTTGTTTCTTTACGTGGTGCTCTCTTTCCTCCTCAAATTTTCTCATTTCCCTGTTGTGAAGGATCTCAGCTTCTTTTCCTTGATGTATGAGTGTCATTTTCTCCTCCAGCCACTTTGTTCTATCACTTTGATACTTTGCCTCATTTTCCTATTTTAATTAAACCAGAAATAAAACCATAGGTAGAGATTAAGACAAAATAAAATCTCAAAATCCAGATTACCATTAAACGGATTTCTTTCAAAAAGATAAAAATCCTAACACAGTTTTACTCCAGCATATTCCCAAGTGCAAGTACTACATTCTCATATGTTCTTCCGTATTGGGGGAAAAAAAAAAAAGAACAATTTTCAGCAAGTTTTATTCAGACTGACGCATCTTCATGGAAACTTTATTTTCTTGTCTAAAAACGTGCTGAGTGAGCACACTATAAAAGTTACACCAGAAGTAAACAGACTCTTCACTTGCAGATTCCCAATCTTTTACACTGCCTTGCAGGACATGTTAGAAAACTTACTTCTACTTCAAGACTGGAAGGCAAAGAGTACAGTACAGTTTGAATGGTAGACAGAGATTGAGCATACCAAAGAACGTCACTGCAATCCACAGCAACTTTGCCTCCTTTCCTATCACAATCATCTGAATCTCTTGTCAGACATTCACCCACATAAAACAGGAGGCACCCAAATAGCCGCTTGTGGGGAGAGAGGGGAAATCTCCTCTCTAATCCAATGAGAATTAAGTTTCAATCCTCAGCCTAATAAGAAGGGGTTAGAGGTCATACAGCAAGTGCAAGATCTTGAAGGTCTCATTTAGTTGCCAAAGCAGCTGACAGGAAAGAGGTTTGGAATAGCTATCATAAGTTAGATTAGCTAAGACAACTGTAAGAGAAGCCTAGCTGTAAAAAGACATCTATGGTAGCATAATATAAGGACGAGAGCAGTTCATTACAGGGCATCAGTATTTTTTCCTTTGCATACAGGTCTGAAGATTTGAAAA